CCCCAGCTCCGAAGCAAAATGTTGGTTTTTTCCCTTTTTTTTCTTTTTTTTTTTCTTTTTTTTCTTTTTTTTTTTTTTTTTTGGATATGCAGTTGTCAATGGACTGAGAAGTCAATAGTGGGTATCAGACTCTTTTACCTTCCCAAGGTAGCCTGAAAAATTTAGCTTGATGTGGGTTTTTAATCTGTTAGTAGCAGCAGTTGTACAAAAAGTAACATTAAGCCTTTCTTCTTTTTTTTTTTTCTTCAGTACTTAGCACCGGGGTTTTTTGTGTGTGCGTGTCTGTATGTGCTTATTTGCCACTTTTTTTAATATATCTCTATGTATTTAAACTTGAACAGTGTCTAACACTCAGGGTTTCCCATGCACTAATTTTAACAGCCTCACCTAGTATTGCCGATGTCAAACGCTCTCAAACAATAAATCTACAGAGAAAATGTTTAAGAAAACGGACTCCAGACACCTTTCTTTTTTTTTTTTCTTTTGAAACATAACTTTTTTAAAAAGGATGTCTCCAGAAAAAAAAATCAGAAATACCAAAAACTGTGTGCAGGCTAACCAGCGTGCGTGGGGAGCGTGCTGCCTCCCCACAGCTCAGCCCTGACCCCCTTTTGTGTCCCCGCAGCCATTCATGTCACCGCGCTACGCTGGAGGTCCCCGGCCCCCCATCAGGATGGGCAACCAGGTACTGCGCTCCCGGGATTCCACATTTCCTAGAGATTGCTGTTATTTGGGGAGGGAGACAGTGGCCAGGTGTTCTGGAGATGCTCCTTGGGTTTGGGTGGCAAGCATCACCTCCCTTGGGCATCCTCTGTTTCCTCGGTGCCGGACCATCTAGTGTCACTTAACAGTTATATTTTAATGTTGTTTTGAGGTTCAGGCATATCCAGGGTGGAAACAACGGTGGGGAATGTGCCACTTTCTATCTGTGATGTTTCCAGCAGGGTTGTGCCATGCCATGTGCTTGCTGCCTGGCTGGATTTTCCCTGCAATCGCAGAAAATTAAAGTGATGGAGATAATCCTGCTGCTGGGCTAACCGAGCGCTTAGATCAGCGGCGGGGTCAAGCGGGGCAGGTCAATGCTGAATTTTTTGGGCTGGGTTTATCCTCTTATCCCAGCTTAAATGAGGGCAGTTTGTTTCTGGCCTTACGGATGGAGGCTTCCACCCCACGCCCTGCCCTGCATGTGTGCGTGGCTTTGGTTGAGGAATTCATGTCCTTCCCAACGATGCCATGCAGATCCATAGAGTAATGACCAAGCCAGAGGTTATTTGTCACTAAAGGGAAATTCAAAGAAACCTGCAATTCCCTTGAGCAGCAGAGGTGACTGTGCAAAAATTGGGAGCTTATTTTTTGGCTGTCAGTGCTATTTTTGTATAGGTGTAATTAGCAGAAAGAGCAGGATAGTCAGGAAATAGGATGTAGCAGCTTGCTCTGTGTTTGTGCTTGCTGGATTTGAGACTTGAATAGCTGGAACTTGCTAAATGATGGTAAGACAGCTTGAGATGTGGCTGAGAAAAACGCAGTGGGGGCTGAGCCTCCCTCCCAGGGCACTGGTGGCTGTTTTAGTGAGGTATTAATTGACTGCACCTCATCATGGATCAGTTTTAACAGAATCCCATCCTACTGTGGTCTAGGGCTCATCCCAAGCTCTGCTGGAGATGAGCACAGTGAGCTGGGCAGGCAGGAGAGGCAGAGGACTAGCCTGGGGAGACTGCTCCCACAGAAGGATCAAGTATCCAGGAGTGGGTGAAGTTAATTAGAAGGATTTCATTTTTTCCCCCCAAACACCACATATAAAGCACATGTTTGTACCTACACAGAGCTCGGCAAGGTTGTGGTCACATCCTGAGGGACAAGAGGAATAAATAGGCAGGCAGGAAGGTCAGGCAGCAGAAGTGTAAATATCCACCTCTACAACCCCTCTAGTTTATCTTCCTCCTGCTGCCAGCTTCCAGGCTGCAAAAAACTTGAGACTGGGCAGATTCTGCCTTGGTGCAGCCAAGTGAACCTGATGCTCGCGCTGTGCTCCAGCAGTGGGATCCTCGGTGTCGGCATCCAAATAAAAGGCAGCACTGTAGCAAAACTGTTTACAGTTTGCTTCCCCTAGGCAGATGATATCTACGTTTTTCTTCCCCTTTATCTGTTCAGAGCAGCCTTTGAACTTTAAATAGCAGTGTTGCCCAAGCAGAGCATGGGTTTGGGGAGGGGGAGCATCTGCCTTCCCCTCTGCCTGTGTGGGGAGGGGTCCCAGTGCTGCTCTGCTGCACGTGGAGCATCTCCCCTCCACAGCCCATGGAATCACTGTGACCTGTTTGGCCCTGTTGCTGTGTAGTACCGGGTTGCCATCCCGCTGGTCACCTTTCCCTGCTGGGTTTCACACCTGTGCCCTGCTCAGCCTCAGGCTTTCCCCCACTGCCCTAAAATATGACAGCCTGACAGTGCGTGGCCTGTGGGGAGGAGAAAACTCTGGCGCCTTGTTTGGGTTTTAGAGGGTGTTTGCGAAAGGATGAGGGAGGCAAACATCTGGAGGCTGTAAAAGTGGGGTGTAGGATGCGGCGGGATGCAGGATTTACTCTTTTTTTAATCTTCCTGCCTTGTTTTCACAGCCCCCAGGTGCCGTTCCCGGTACACAGCCATTGCTGCCCAATTCAATGGATCCCACGCGACAGCAAGGTAAACCCAGCAGAGGAGGGGTGAACATTAGCGTTTCTCCTCGGCCGTCAGTTTGGGACCTAAAGTGGCCGCAGTGCCATGTAACACCCCTACTTTTGCTCCCAACAGGGCACCCCAACATGGGCGGCCCCATGCAAAGGATGAATCCTCCGCGAGGGATGGGCCCCATGGGTCCCGGTCCGCAGGTAAGCCCAGCTCCAGAGAGCATCATACAAACACTGCACACCACTGGAACAACCTCCTGGGGCTTGGAGGGCTGGGAGTTACCCCCCCCACGCCCTGTCCCCACATTAGTGTTAATGCATTTTACATTAGTCTTGCATCTGGAAATCCCTCCTTTTAACATGAGTGAGGTCTTCAGAGCTCATTAAGGGTATTGCAGCCTCCCTCTTGCCCTTCTGTCAGAGGGGATGGCACTTAGCTCTGCGCAGGAGCAGCCTTTGAGTGCATTACACTGCCTGCCTGGGAAATAGTTACGACCCTAACAGCAGGAAAGGGAAAGAAGGCTTGCATTTAAAATAAATAAATAAAAAGAAATGGCAAAGATCCCTTTAGCAAGGGAATAAGGCTTTCCTCTGTGAGGTTCCCCTCCACCTGCCCCTCCTGCTGCCTGCTTGAGCTCTCTATTTCAGGAAAGGGGAGTAAACCCTTGAAATTAAGCAGATCTGGGTTAATATATGCTGTCATTCTGTTGATTCGCTTACGGAGTGGCTTATTGTTGACTCACTCCTGTTTGTTCCTTCTACAAGACTTCAAAACCAGATTACCATATTTTGGTTGGAGGTTTATCCTCTCTGCATTGTCGCCTACGTGGAGTTTGTAGCGCGAGGATCAGAGTCTGTCAAGAGGCGGGCGGGTGCGCTGGAGTTTTGTTTTGTTTTTCCCCCAGAGACTGTTGAGATAAGTGAATGTTGTGTAAAGAGAGAGTTGTGTCATCTCTTTAACACCAACCTGATGCTGCTGCTCAGGGATGCTCGGCCGCCTCCACGGACACCCAGATCCATCCTAGGGCAGGGGATAAAAAACCTGCACGAGCATCGTTTCATGGACAAGGCCTCCAATAGCACTGCTGCTGTGCTTAAAATCCTCCTTTCCCTGAAGGATTGCACCCAAAAAAAACCCGGCATTCGCCAGCGTGGCCTGCGCCAAGGCGAGTGGCAGCGGCTTGCCCGGGGGAGGTTGCTCGCTTCCCACTTCCAAAGCTCGCCGAGAAACTTGGAAGCGGCGAGGGCGCTGTGAGCGCCGCGTGGGATGGCGGCGGCTCCGGGAGCCGGCAGGAGTTGTGAAATGTTCAGAGCTTTATTTTTGACTCCACCATTCCCTGTGTATGTACATTAGGGAGAGGTTTTTTAAGAGGCAGCCTTTCCCTGGAGAAGCGCTGGGCTTCCCAATCTGGCACCCGCGGGCGCTGCCTTCCCCCAGACATCCAGGAATCGACGCCTGAACAGGCAGCCACCAAAAATACCAGCCCTAGCCCAGCAGCCCCTCACACCTTGTGTGCTCAAGGCTTGTTTTTCTTTAAGCTTTGCATCAGGACATTCCTAAATACTCCCCAAATTATTCCAGAGGGCTGCAGAGCATCCAGCCAGGACATCCCGGCGTCCTGACAGCAGCTCCTTATTACACACCAGTGATGAATCATCCCTTTCAGCTGGTTGCTGCTGCCTTTTTCCCTTTAATAGTCCCAGTTGTATCTCTGCAGAAGCCAGGACGGGGTTTGCCAGCGCCTCTACGAAGAGGATTTGTAGCTCCCTGGGTTTTGGCGGTGTCTTGCCAGAGCCCGACATCCAGGTCGCTCAGCACAGCTGCGTTCCCTCCCCACCCTCCCTGAGCATCTTTCAGCTGGCTTCGTTTTCCAGCCTTTCAGCTCCAATTAAAAACGCTGAGCCCTTTTTCTTTTTTTTAAACAAGGGGTTTGATGCTGCTATTCAGTGTAAATGGCTGAAATTTCAATCAATTAAGGACTTGCCGGTAATTTGTTTGGGGAAAACCCTTTTCTTCCTCTTCAAAACAAACTTTGGTGATGCCCTCAGCAGAGCACCGTGTTCTGATGTACCCATAAATCCAGTGAAAAATCGACAGCACTGAAGTATTGTACTTAAAATCCAGCTTGGAGCACTCTGAGGGGCTGTGGAAGGGGAAGTGGCCAGCCATCACTCCTTCTGCTGTAGCAGTTTTTTCTTTAAATGGCAGAAATACAGCCCAAAAAGATTCAGTACAGGGAGGGAGGTGGAAGGGGAAGAGCGCCAGCGCGACCTAAATCTGGCTGCACTGGCTGCACGTCGCCTGGAGGGCACAGGGAGCAAAGCTGAGACCAAATGGAGCGCGGCATTCAAGGGATTCCTCTTCCTTCGCTGCCCTGGGCTTGGCTTTGTACTAGAGCTGGTTTTAGGAGATGGGGGATGCAGATCTGAGGCTCCCAGTCCCAGCTGGAGGCTAAGCCAGGGTGGAATAAGCCAGGAGAGGAGCCTCAAGGGGCTGCCTGCCCTTGCCTGCTCCTCATGGCTTCAGACCCGCTCCAGGGGATAGAGCAGAGAGCTTGAGAGCACCAGGAAAACAAGCTTGGCTTGGTTTTCCCTGCTCCAGTCGTCATCCTGAGAGCAGGGGATGCTCCATTGCAGGGGAAGCTCATGCAGCCTTTCCCCATCCTTAAAATGCAGCAGGAACCTTCCAAGCGGTGCCTTTTCTCCTCCTGCCCTTGTTTTCTCCTCCTGCCCTTGTTTTCTCCTGCACAAAAGGACAAATCTAAAAGGCTGTTGTTGGCACCAGGGGCTGGGAGTGGATTTGTCTCCCAGAGTTGGGAGGAGGTTGTTTTCCCTTCAGCCATGTGGCCTCAGAGAGCAGGGAGGGGGAACTTTGGGGCTCAGCCTGGCGCCCATCCATATTGAGCTGCCTGGTTTTTTATAAATATATACCAGTATATAAATATATATACCAACTGCCTCTACATTCATCATCATTAATTTTTTTTTTTATTAATCTCATTTTTGCAAACAGACCTGCTTGGTTTTTTGTTTGTTTATTGGGGATTTTTTCCCGTCTCTTGTCTGGTGTCCCTTCCCATTGCAGTAGACTGACCCTTGGTTATTGTTGCAGAACTACGGCAGCGGCATGAGACCTCCACCCAACTCCCTAGGCCCTGGCATGCCTGGAATTAACATGTAAGGCAAACCCCCGCACTGGGATGTTTGACTGCTGACTCAGGACTGCAGGACTGTACAGATTAAAAGACAACATTCATTTTTTTCTTGTTTAATTTTGACCCCAGGGGGCCGGGTGCTGGTAGACCGTGGCCGAACCCCAGCAGTGCTAACTCAGTGAGTATCCCATGGTCCTTGGAGCAAGAGCAGGGTTGGTTGGGAAGTTTCCTGCAAAATGGGGCCATTCCCTGTTAGCTGAATCCTGCTAATGAGAGGAAGTTCCCAGCCTCTTGCTTAGACTGCTGGGCCCTGGGACTCCCATCCTGGCCGGGCTGAGATGGCAGTGGGGGCTCTCAGCTGTGTCCTGCTGGGAGCCAACCTGTGGGAGCCCCTGTGCACCCCATGGCTGAACTTGGCTCTCTTCTCCCTACAGATTCCATACTCTTCTTCATCGCCTGGTACATACGTGGTGAGTCCTCCTGCTCCGTCTGTCCATCCTGTCATCGGGGCGCAGAGATGTTATAGAGTTCATACGGTTTGGGATGCAATTGGTGCTGTGGGAAGTGACCAGGCTGGTTTTGGGGGTGTGAGGTCCAGCTGGTGGTTGAAAACGTGGAGAGGTGGGCAATGCTCATCTTTGCACATCTGATGCCTGCTTTGTCTCTCTGCAGGGTCCGCCCGGCGGCGGTGGTCCCCCAGGGACACCCATCATGCCCAGTCCTGCAGGTATGAGCCCTCCAAGACCCCCTTCTCCCAGGCCAGCCCTTCAGGCTCTGCCCCTTCCCCTGCCAGGAGACCCCCATCCCTTGGGCTGTGCCCACAGGCAAACAACAGATTTTGACTTTCTGGGGAGTGAGTGGCATGGGCTGCTTGGCTTTGGGATGGCATTTGGGGATGTTCCTACATCCCCCTATGAATCTGGTAGCTGGGGGGCTCAGGAAGGTGAGGAATTACCTCCGCACACTTCCCAGCGAGGAGCTGAATTATTTTTCACAGTTGAATTTCTGTGATTAAAAACTTTGTGGATCTTCATTAAATACAAATTAGCCAGAAAATGGTGGTAGTTAGAGGGAATTTTAGGTGATAAAATACAAAAGAATGAGTTCAAGTGGCATGAGTTTGTTTTAATTAAGAAATGAATTAATCACCCGACTTACTGGGCTTCACTGTTCCACAGATTCAACAAATTCAAGTGACAACATCTACACAATGATTAATCCAGTACCGCCCGCAGGCAGTCGATCGAATGTAAGTCTGCTTTCTAATAATTTACATATCAGATACCATAACAAATCATAATTAACTTCATCAGTTGAGAGTAAAGCAGTTTAATTGATTTCAGCCATTTGTTACAAAACAGAAATAAAACAAACCATCAAAAAGCGATTAACTCTTGGGCAACTTTGTTAATTTTTTATGCTTATTAAGAGAGCAGCGGTCCTGCTGCTCCGGCCGAGGTGGTGGCAGCTGCGTGCCCAGAGAGGTGCTGGGGTTTGTAGGATGCAGGCAGCCTTAAATCTCATTAGATGCTGGTTGGATGGAGCCCTCTGTGTTGCCATGGCTCTGAGTCTGCCACTCAGCCAAATTTTATAGGTGAATCCTCAGGGGATGATACGGCCCCAAGTTGCGCAGGGGAGGTGTAGGCTGGATATTAGGAAAATTTTTTCATGGAAGGGAGTGTCAAGCACTGGAACATGCTGCCCAGGGCAGTGGTGGAGTCACCATCCCTGGAAGTGTTCAGGAAACATGTGGATATGGCACTGAGGACATGGTTTAGTGGTGGTGCTGGGTTGACAGCTGGGACTTTGTGATCTCAAAGGTCTTTTCCAACCTTAACAATTCTGTGATTCCATGATGTGTCCCATTCCATGAGGGATGTCTTGTGGGGGGGGAATGTTCCCCAAGGAGCCACCGTGGCAGGTATTTGGGGTAGTTTTGTGACTGATTTTGGTCTTGTCACCTTTTTGTTCCTCAGTTCCCGATGGGCCCCGGCTCTGACGGCCCCATGGGTGGCATGGGTGGCATGGAGCCCCATCACATGAACGGATCGTTAGGTGAGCAATGGGCAGGGGGCTGCCACTCAGAGAGCCACGATGGGCCTTCACTCCCTGGGGACACTGGCTGAGCATCCCAGTGCTTGCTCCTGTCCCAGGGTCAACCCACAGTTCACACCAGTGGCTCAAAGCAGAGCTGGAAATCAGAACGGGGCGTGGGGGCAGCCGAGCAGGGGGCGTGAGGCCATGGCTGCATGCTCAGTAAGGCTCTTGTCCTTTCTCTCTCCTCTGTGCAGGGTCAGGAGACATAGATGGACTTCCAAAAGTAAGTGGGTTGCAGGGTGGGTGCGTGGGCTCCCCTTTTCCCAGCACTGGGGTAGCAGTGTGACCCTGATGGATGGGGACATGTTGGGAAATGTGACTGGGGTGGGCAGGGCTATATCCTGCCCCCATGGTGTTTCATGGGGCATGGGGACCTGCTCACCACCCTCCCTCCCATCTCTCACAGAATTCTCCAAACAACATAAGTGGCATTAGCAATCCCCCGGGCACTCCAAGAGACGACGGGGAGCTGGGAGGCAACTTTCTCCATTCCTTCCAAAATGACAATGTGAGTGAGTGCCTGCCTGGGGATGGGGAGACAGTCCTTGGGGAGAGCGGTGGGTGCCTTTTGGACCTGGATTGTTCTGTGTGTGAGCTGCTCTGGGACAGAAAAGTGGGCAGGAAGAAATATGCTGGTGGGTGGAAGCTTGGGGTCCTTGGTGGGATGAGTGTGTACTGATGGAGGGGAGAGGATCTACAGGATGGAAAGGAGCTGGTGCAGATGCAGCCAGCTGTGCCGACCTGGCCGAGTCGAGGCTCTGTGGGTGGCTACAGACATCCCTCCGTTTCTTCCTCTATTAGCAGCATATACACGTGTGCATGTTAATTACTTGTTTTAAATTGCATCTCACCCCATACTGTTCTGCTGATTTTCTTCCCGGAAAAGCAAGTTACAGTGCACATTATGCCCTGATAAATTTGAGTCTCCAGCATATCCTCTCCTCCTGGTTTATTAGATCCAATTAGGTTGCTGTGTAGTTGTCATCAGCCTCCTTTTGCATCCCCCTTCAGTGGCCGGGGATCTCACCTGCCTGGTTTCTCACCCTGGCTCTGTCTCTCTTCCAGTATTCCCCCAGCATGACGATGAGTGTGTGATTTCCCTCCCCCTCCTCCTCTCCAGGATCAAGAGAGTCAGCTGCCGTTCGGAGGATCTCAACGAATTATGCAAGAAGAAGAAGAAGAATCTAGGTGTATGGGCAGGGACACGCGTGGCGGGGGCCAAAACCCCAGGTTTAGTTTCATGCAATAAAAAGGCTGAACTTTTTATTCCATAAAACATGAAGGACAAAACTTAAAATATTTCAAGACATGACAAGACCCTTCTTTGTGCAGAAGGGTTTATATATGTACATGACACTTCTTTTTGGAAACAAACGGAAGCCTCTAGCACCCAACTCCGATCTCTTTGCTTTGTTCTTTTAAATAAAGACAGAAACCGAACCTGTTGTATGTTTGTGCCGTGCGACACCAGGAAGCTAGTCTAGATATGAAATCATGTTGTCTCTGTTGTAGTCATTTTTTTAAATAAACTGGACAGTTTACAATGGTGGTTTTCGTTCAGAAGGCCTGTTTTTCTTTTTTTTCTTTTTTTTCTTTTTTTTCTTTTTTTTTTTTGGTTTGGGGGTTTTTTCCCTTCTATTTTTGGGGGTTTTTTTGTTTGTTTGCAGCACAACGCTTCCTCCTCCAGTTAACAAGATCTGCTTTGGGGAAGAGACTCCACCACCTCGTTATAAACTTGTTAACGCAGGTGACCCCTTCTAGGATCACATCCTCGAATGAATCGTGATCTTGCTCTCTGTGACTGTGGCATGCACTGTGTTAGTCTTTCCCCCCCTCTCTGAGTACAAGAAGAAATCTCTTGTCCCTCCTTTCCCCAGAATCCTTCAGCTGGTTCACTGCAAAAATTGATTTTTTAAATATTTTTTTTTAATCCACCGAAAGAAAGAGTTACTCTGACCTGGGACTTTGAAACTGTGATCTCCAGCTAACTTCGGGATTTTCTGGGGGTTTTATTTGCTTTAGGGGTATTTTGGGGGGGGGGGTTTCTTTTCTTTAGAGATGTGCTCTTGTCAGGATTTCACTTATCTATGATTTGGAACTGGATGGAGATATTTTTTAAGGAATTCTTGTTGTTAAAATGTAACCTTGCTATTCTGTAGGCTCGCTCTGTAATAAGAAAATAAAAATTAATGGCAAGCATCGAAGGCCCTTCCTTCTGGTGGGAGAGGAAGGGATGAGCCAAGGCGGCGGGTTGGGATCTCTGTACATGACACTACCCTGTAGTTTGGTCTTTGTTTTTCTGCAGCTCCCATTTCTGCTCCATGTATATCATATTCTGTAAAATATTCTCTCCCTTGGATTTGACCTTTGTGCGGATTATTGAAAGCATTGTATCTTGTTTCAGTGTTTTTTCTTACCTTGTAGTCTGGTTCGAAAATTACCGAGAGGGGAAAAAAAAAATAATTATTATACATTGTAGTTTGTGTACGATATTTGTTGATAATGTTTTATTAAAGGGATGTCTTTTTTCCGCACCCCTTCATTGAAATGTTTTTGGGGGACATTTGGCTTGTTTTTATTATTCTGACTGCAAGACATGAGATGACAAAACTACTTTTTTTTTTAGTGTGTAATATGAGTTTCTTTTTTTTTTAATGTTTGCCTTCCTTTTCCTAGGCATTTTCATTGTGCTTTACCTGTAGAAAGTTGGTGGGGAGGGAGGGGCGGGTGGGATGGGGGTTCTGAGGGAGTCAGTCTCATAGTTACAGTCAGGTTAATATTTTCCAGGTAATAACCAAACACAGATTTCTTGCGTCAGCAAAACCCAGGGGCTCCCCTTTTCTGCTTCACATCTTGTTCAGGTTTGGGGGGTTTTTTACCTTTTTTTTTCTCTTTTTATTTTTTTTCTCACGTGAGGAAATGAAAGGACCGGTTTTAATGTATTTTAAAATGAATAGCTAAATTATTGTCTTCATTGGTATCGGGTGGTTTTTTGAATGAAACGGTTCTCCCCCCTTCTCCCCCCTCCCCATGCTGTAATAAATATCAACATAAACATTTGATTTCAGTGCTCTGCTGTTTGTTCCTGGTGTTTGCTGCCAGACCCAGGGCGGGAGTTGGGTATTTTTTTCCAACCTTTATCAAGGACCAAACCCCAGGTTTGGGATGCGGGAGCAGAGGTGATGCAGAGCAGAGGAAGGGGGCTGGAAGTTGGCCCCAAAAGGGATCCCAAAGGGATTTGGCTGCGGTGCAGGACCTGGGGGGCTGGGAGAGGTTTGGTTTTAACAATGCCCGCTTGTTTCTTGGGTTATTTTTTTTTTTTAAGCATTTTGAAAATTTAGCTTTTAGCCTAGAAAAATGGTTGGTGTTGTCTGTACTGGACTGAGCATTTGCTCGCTGGACTCTTGGCCTCCCTGCACCCAGCCCACCATGCTGCAGGGAGAGGGGGACTTTCAGGAGCTAAAAGGGGAATATTTTTTTTGTACACTGACCCCCAGGCTTTCCTCATTAGAGGCTGGAGGAGACAAAGTGCCAGTGTGGCAATGGAGGCAATCCCATGCAGCAGCTCCCTGGGAGAGGAGCTGGGTCCGGCCACCTCCTGTTGCTGGAGTCCTGCACTGCTGGGAGGTAAGCAAGGGAGAGGAAGACTCGAGTGTTAGCTTCAAATATATATATATATATATATATATGTATGTATTGGGCTTGCAATGGGGTCTGCTTGCAATGGGGTCTGCCCTCCTCGGGCAAGGGCTGGCTGCAGTGCTGGGTGGGGGTGTGCACCATTGCAGGATCAAACTCAGCTCGAGGCTCTGAAGGAGCTGCTGGGGGTGGAGAAGTGCAGGCGAGGCTGACCTGCTTCCCTAACGAGCAGCATCAGAGGCTGCTGGGGGAGAGATTGAGACTTTTTAGGCCTCTTTACGTGGGTGGTTGCAACTGCTGGGTGCCTGAAACGCTCCCGGGAGCTTCTGTCTGAGACTTGTTCTCTGCCTTTGACTAGTTCAGGCAGGCCATGGTTGGCTGTGAGTGTGCAGCTCTTGCTCCTTGCGGGAATGTTCAAGCATGGGCTGTAGACTCAGGGAACTGTGGGCTTGGGGAACTGTGGGCTCAGGGGGCTGTGAGCCATCCCGGAGCTCTACCTGTCCTGGGGAATGCTCCCACCTGGCACCAGCACCCACAGTCACATCACTGCTGCAATTCCAGCAGTGAGCACTGTGCAGTCATGTTCAGTCATGGATACTTGTGGAGCAGAAGGCTGAAAGGACAGCCTACTTGTGCTTTGGAAGGCTGCTGGGTTTGGGAACCAGCCAGAGAAATGACAGCCTGCAGAGCCCATCAGCATGTCATTAATGGTGTGGCTGAGGAGAGGGGTGTGTTTTCACCCTTTGCTACCTGTGCAGGTTTGCTTCCAGGTTAATGTCACAGATGTCCATGTACAGGGTCTGCAGCCGTATCCCAGCATGGATTTTGGTCCAGGCAATCACATCCCCTGTGCTTTGCAGGAAGTAGAGTGTGAGCATTGTCCATCACTTGGAGTCAAGCAACCCCCAAGGGTTAAGTTGATGCTGATGAGGAAATCCTGCCCTCCCAGCTCCCTGGGGCCATCCCTGCCTGCACTGCCCATCCAGGCCCTGCTCAGCTGCCCTAAGCACCAGGCTCCTGCACTGCTGCCTGTTTTTATTGCAGGGCATAGAAAAGTCCTTCCCACTGGTTCTTAAGGGTTACAGGCTAATTTTATTAAATATCGCCATGAAACTGCCAAGTTCCCTCCTCTAAACGTCTCCTGGGCCCAACCTCAGGGATAATTGTCTTCCCCATTAGTTTTCATTAAATTAAATGCAGGAGGAGGATCTGAACAGCCAGGGCTCCAGGCTGAGCACGGGGTGTTGCTGGCATGATGAGTGCAGCCCATGGAGCTGGATTTTTCACCGGGAGTGGTTCAGAGGAAGAGAGTGTGGAGTGGTGGAGCTGGGATGGCACTGTGTGCATCATCCCCAGGCTGGGGACGGTGGCTGCAGAGCTCTGCTCTGGGCAGCCAGGCTCTGCCAGGTCCTCGTCTCAGGCTCCTGCCACCCCGTTCTTGCATGTTCTGCTTCCCTGGCTGCCGTTCATTAAAAGTTAATGCCTGGCCCTTGGTCCATGCTGAGGTAACACCATTTGTCTGCTGACGAGCCTTTATAACTTATTGATGCCAACTCAGATGAGGCTCTGTGACCCATTGTTGGACTCCCGGTCCCACCTCCCTCAGCTGGGCCGATTCCAGCAGGTCACGCTGGAGGAACTGGGAGAGCCGAACCACGCTCAGCGTGCTCAGGGATACCACGGACATGTGGTAGGGGCTGCCTGGTCCATGGACCACAACAGATCAACCTGAGCATCCGTGCCAGGTGCCAAGCTGGAAGCTCCACTCTGCCCCCCTTGAGCTCCCCTGCAGGACCTCAGAGGTGCAAACCCTGCATGAGGATCAGCTGCTCTTTCCAGCAACACGTGAGTGCTGCTTCGCCCTGGCCTCGGGTGAGACCAGCTCTGCCCTGAGCAAACCAGAGACACGGCCTCCATGCTTGCGTGTGATCCCCTCACCTCCAGCAGCTTCCTGATGCCTCACAAAACCTCTGAAGCCTTGTTTTCCCACAGATCTGTCTCACTGCTTCCACCATTTTTTAAAACTTCCTTTGCTCTGCCTTTATCCATCCCTCCCTGTGCTCATGCTTTGTCTTTGCTCAGTTTGGAGACAGGATTCCAGCTTCCCCTGCTCCCTCCTCTTCTGCTGCCTGCCCTGACAGAGATGTCTTTGTTGAGAGGTAAAAGCATCTGTAGGGACTTTTTCCCTCACAGACCATCTACACACAGGTTCCCACATCTACTAGGAGCAAGGGAGGTGTTTCACCTCTCCAAGCCCCCTCCCCACCACAGATGTTTTTCCAGCAGGCTTCCTCAGGGAACCTCTCTGCTCAGGAATGCGAACAGGCAGCTGGCTGCCCTACAGGGCTTCCTCCCTAGGACGGGTAATGATCCGAAGCCAGAAGAGCGAAGGGATGTCAAGCAGGGTCCATGTGACACAGCAGGGAACCAACAGCCCGAGAAACAAACACCTACAGGCTCCACAGAGCACGGGTGTACTAAAATATATTCCCAAATACCAGGATGCAAACCACAGACCTCAGCAGATTTACACTGATGAGCTGAACTAGGCATCCCTTGAGCAGGCAGGATTAACACAATTCAGATCAGTGCAACTCTTACTAGATTATTTCTCTTTCAAGCATTTCTCCTAACTATTGAGGGATTTGTTAATTTAATGTACAGCTCCCGCAACCCAGTTTACGGGGTGCAACTGTTGTTCTCAAATGTGACTGGTGGATGTTGGCTGAAACCTGCAGAGTGGAGCTGCCTGATGGACTGGAACACACAACTGGGGTGTTCATCCAGGTGGTCAGAGACCACAAAGCAAGACCAGCCTCTGACACAAGACACTGAAGAGAGATGAATTTCTTGGAAATATGCTCTTCCACACCTTAAAATAGCACAGGCTGTCCTCTTCTTTCCCATGTGCTGGAGGGTATCAGAACTGCAAAACATTCTACATTTGGCTGCAGCTAATTTAGCTTTCATTTTACAAAACCCACACTAATCCCCCCATGTTAAAAAGAATACGCTTCCTGCTCAGTTAACTCTGTGTGGCAGGAAGAAATTCTTCCTTTGTATTTTTAGCAGCAAATACCAGCTACAGGCACCAAAGTTTCACGCTACATTCTACACCACTTTCCCCCCAAACGCAGAGGTCTCTTCATCCAGGACTGGGGGATAAAAGAACTGCGGTTCTACAGATCCAACAAAGCAATCTCTCCGATTAAGTGCTTTGGGAACTAAGCACAGGGCAGCACGACGCATCCCGCAGCAGCCAGGAGTAAAACAAAGTCAAAGCCAGGCAGAATGAAAAAGGCTCATGTCTCAGGCTCCCCCCTTGAAGCTTTGTAAGTCTCTTCTGCATTCAGAGGGACTCAAAGCAACCTCAGGAATAGGTTTGAGTCTGGCTCTGTGCAGAAGCTCACTGAGAGCAGAGCCTGCGCAGAGGAATAATGACTGGCTTATGTTCTTTCCAGGCAATGGAGGAAGAGTGCAGGAAGATGCATTTGATGGCTTCTCTAACCCAAATTCAGAGGTGAGCCCCTAAAATGAAAGAGTTTCTTCATGCACTATTTAGTTTAAAAAAAATATTTTACTTTCAGTAACGATATAATTTATTTTTAAAAGTAAATTAATCCACCTTTCTTTAATTATGTGATGGTTCTGGCAAAGAGAAGCAGCAGGTACAGTTGGTGAAGTATTTTCATTTGAGCTGAATTTCACACAGTTCCATGCAGATACAGTGCCAGAAACTTCTTGAATGTGTCTGGCTGAAAGCCATGAATTCCAACGGGCTTCTGCAGAGAAAAAGACACGGATGCTCAGTTTGCAGTGAAGTGATTAATGTAGACAAACAACGGCTTTAAACATGCTTGAATAAGACTTTCAGGCGTGGTAGCTTCTAAATTGTGCTCTCTTCCCCAGAGGGGTTTGTGTGGGGGTACTTCCACTGGTGTCAGTCTCAGAGAGCCGAATCCCTCTGACCATCAGTGAGATGCCCTCCCAGTATAACCAGTGCTGACAGCCCCGTGCTCTGTTTACAGCAAGGCTGACAGTAGCATGTAAGCACTTCCTTCACCGGGGCTGGTTTTAAACAAGCATATTATGAGATGGTGGATTACAGACAGGGATATCTGTACACAGGAGTTCATATTAAGCTTGGCATGTGGCACATCAGCACTACAAACACTCAGGAACCGTTCCCCTCAGGAACACCTGCTTAGGGAACAACTAGGCCAGTGCCCGTGTCAGGTCCCTTCAGCTGGTTTAAAACCTGCTGCAGCTCTGCACCAGCTCTCAAACCTCCTGCCAAGGTGAAAGGGCAGGATTTCAAGGACCATTTCCAAAGGTTTGCTTACCACTACAACTCTCTTCTTGATTTTTGGAACACACTGGGCTGTTTCATACAGTTTCTGATCGGAGTCAATCCACACTAGATTTTTTATGCCATCGTTAGAGACAAGGTCTGTTGTATTTAACTGGAACACCATGAACTGGAAGAGCTGGCCATCTGTGCCAATGCTTTGCACCACTATTGGCTGCTCCAAAACCTTGGGATCATTCTAGGAAAAGAAGAGGGGGTGGGGGAGAATGTTTTAAAAGCCAGTTACTACAGAAATTGTATGAGTACTTGCTGATTCTGCATCTTAGAGTTGGTTTAAAGCCAAGATTTTAATAAATGTATTGTTACCTTGCCCAGAAAATTACTCTAGTCAAACAAGTTTTGAATGTAGATTTTGTATTTTAATTAAAATTCCTCCTTCAGCCAGCAATGAAGTGTCAATTTAAATACTGAGCTGTGGGATGGGTCAGAGTTTTACAGCTGAACTTACTCCCTAGTTCCTGCCCATTACCACCCCAGTGCGTGTTACATCACGAACACACTTGTTGCTGAGCGGAGGATTTCTGGATCAGGAGACATCAGTAACCTGAAGGTTGGGGTTAGACCTTTGGATGGGGAAGTTTGGATGTGAGAAGTACTGTAGCATGCCACGGCAAGGGAATTTCAGGACTCTCTCCACTTGCTGCAGCACTAGAGGGAGAACAAAGGCCCAGCAGCAGCCTGCCATACATACCCCATACAGCGCCTTGGCCTTGGCCAGCGCGTTGCCAAAAGCAAACATCAGCATTTTAGCACGGAGCTGTTCTGGTCTGAACCTGTCAGGGCAAATGATGGCTGACTCCAGGAAGAACAGAGTGTGAGGATGAGAGTAGGGATAACCATCTCTGAAACCTAAACAGCAGATAGTCATGTCAGAAATCGCTCAGTAAGACACTACACAACCGATGTTCTCTCCCTTTATCTTCAGGAACTGTTAAAGCAATTTGCTGGGGTTTAAGTTCTTCTCCATTGTCCTGCTTAGTCCACAGGTCTGGAGCGCTTGCACTGCACTCCTTTACCCAGCTCCTCTGTCCCCTCATTCCCACACATTCCCCCTCTCAGCTGCCTCACAGAAGGACAAGGGCTCTAGGTTAACCCAAACACTGACAATATTATTACCAACAGCTGGATTTACCTGTGTCATTGAGCTCTTTGTACACATTCACCTCCTGAAGATCAATTGTAGGCAAGATGGGATGGAAGGTCTCCAGAACATGTTCTTTGGTGGCTAGGATCTCCTCCTTGGAGGCTACTGGTGGTATTGGGGCCATAGAGTTCATGAGTATTCCATTCAGGCCACGGACCTGAAGGAGAACGGATTCTGGGGAGGGAAATTAGACTACATTCAAACACTGGTGAAATCAGATTAGGGAAACACGTACATTTCCTTTTACAAGTCTGTTCTGCACAAGGCTCACTCTCTCCCCCTCACCTCCAAACCCATCTTAAATAGTAGCTCAGCTGTAGGTTCTTCTCCTAATATACCAATGCTAATTGCTGGTATTAAGTTCTTAACTAAACATACTTAGAAAAACAACAGAGAGAGACACAAACACACAAACAATCAGGTCCAAGGCCCTGGGTCTCTTCTCCCACCATACTGTCAATATTGTCTAAGACATAGTAATGTCCTCAGGGAGAATATCCTGCCATCATCCAAGGCTGCCCATGCTGACAGCACTTTTCAAAACGGGAAGAATTACCTGCAGGGTTCCAGAAATTGTTTAACTTGCTCCAAGTCCTCATCCTTAAAGCTGGCAGCATTGTTACCCCTCTTATCTTAAAGAGCTAAATGCTTCCACCATGGCAGCAACTAACCTCTTTCCCATGTTGCTGCTATCCTGTAGTTTCTAGCCAACATCCTTTTACTCAGAGCAGGATACTTCCTAGACATTAACCGGCATAAATGTATCAAGTCTTCAAACAGCACTGGGCTTTAAAAGGAGAAAAAAACTTATATAAAAATGGGATCATAAGGGCAGGCAAACGTTTCTGGGGCACAAATGATGTAAAATTACTGTATGTAAAACATATCACAGCATAACGTTTGCAAGCAGTTAACAGAGATTGCAGATTAATATCACACACACCAATCCTGTTCCAAGTTGGCAGAGGTAATGCTTACAATTATTATTTTAAAAACTGATATTCTGCATCAGCTAGAAGTAGATCTCAAGGTGAAATAGAGACCTTGGCTTGAAAGCAGCTTTAATGTAGCAGAGCGTTTATGTCAGTGCTACTGTAAACATCAAAATTGCGTTTTATTGGTTGTTTTGGTTGTTGCCTTGTTTTAAAGATGACAACTTCACACAGCAAGTGAGTCTCTCAACAGTAGGTTTGTGTTCGAATTTTCCTTGTAGTGTTAAAAACTTTCCCTACAGCTGCAGACTCACCAGAAACGGTCCCTCTTGGGAGCAACCTCTCTGGTGTCCCAGAACCGCGCGTGTGAGATCGCGTCCTTCACCCGCTCCTCGTGCTCCTGCAGCCCATGGGCCGGGTTGTCCAGGATGCTCTGCACGGATAGAGGCAAACCTTCCACCAGCTTCGTCTTGGTGAGCCACTGCGCCTGCCGCACCCCTGCAAACACAACCCAACGCGGTATGTCACAGGTGACAGAGATGATCCAACCCAAACCATGCTGTGATTCTGCACTATGTTACCGAGGCTGCCAGGCAGCTCATGAGGCTGGGCAGGCTCTTCACAGCCCGTGTTCTGTTTACACTCTGTGTGAGGAGAAGCCTTGGCAGGCAGAGCAGGGTGAGTGCTGGTGGAGGGGGCAGCGCTGGGGGCAGAGCGGGTGTGTGGTACCTTCCAGCATTCGGACACCCTGGTGGCAGATGTAGCACCCCCGCTCCTTGTACAGCGGCATCTCCTCGTAGCGCGGCCCCAGCGAGTGCCAGGGGTCGTGCCAGCCGCGGTCCCAGGGCGGGAAGCGCGGCCAAGCCAGGCCGGGTATGTGGTACTGCCGTCCCGCGCACGTGATGGTGTCCAGCTCCACCTGCTTCCGAACCGGCCGCCGCTCCACCATCCGCGCCAGCACCTCCGGCGGAGGCCCGCGCGTGGTCCAGGGCGTGCGCGGCAGCGGCCCGCGGTGGCGGGGCCGCCCCGCGCGGGTGAGGATGCCGCGGGTGAGGACCCGCGCCGCCGCCCCCGCCCGCCTCAGCGCCACCGGCCCCGCCGCCATCGCCACTGCCATCCTCCTCCTCCTCCTCCCTCCGCCGCCTCAGCGCCCGCCCGCCGCCATCTTGGAGAGGGACTGTCCCCCATCGCCTCCCCCGGTGACTGACGGCGGCGGCGGCCAATGGCGGGCAGGCGCGCCCCGCCGTAAGGGAGAGTCGGCAAATTGCCTGGCGGGCGGAGGGTAGGCGCCGTGTGGGTAACTGGGGAGGCGGGCGGGGAGCGGAGAGGCGGCTCCTCGCCCGCGGGGCGGGGGGGCACTTGAGAGACCGTCCCTGGGTGGGAGGTGCCGGGGCGCTGTGCCCCCGGGGCGGTGTGTGCGAGCCCCCCGGGGCGGTGTGTCCCAGGCCCCGGGTCCGCACAGTAAGTGCTCGAAACTCTGTAAATCTGCCCAGCCTGGAGCCTTGAGGGTCCCGGGTTCACCCACGGCCGGGTCGGGGTTACCCCTCGTTCATAGCCCATGTGTGCTCGGGGTCCCCAGCGGGCGCTGTGGGCAGCCGGACCAGTCGCCTTTGGTTCTCTCTTCTCCCTCCATATCCTTAAAATAAGTGTATTCGTGTTGCGGGGGTGAAGGTTAATTAATTGACCTTGACAGTGAAGCTGCTCGAAGCGCTAAATGTTCCCTTGCTTCGGCTTGGTCACCCGTGGCTTCATAATTTCCTGTGGACCTCCTTGCGTTCAAAGGATACGGACACAAATGCATTGGGAGCAGCGTTAACCCAGCCAGTGTGTAAAAATAGCAGGGTCCCTGCGAGGTCTGCAGTGCGATTTTGGCTTGAGGAGTGTTTGATGTGTACAGTTCACTTGGAAGCACCGGGAGCAAGGGATAAAATCTCCCTTCTTGTGCTTCCTGCCCTTCCCTATGAGTCTACATTTAAAGGCAGACTCAATGCCCATAACCAAAGAGTTTGTTTTCCTGAGACTTTGCCCCGTTTGCCTCAAGTCCCTTGGCTCTAAACCCGACTTTCAGCTCACTGCCCTTCCCCCTCTTCCAAAGCTGCACAACTCAGGCCACATCTGGTGGTTGGGTTTGTTACCCATTGTCTTGGTGGTTGGGTTTGTCACCCGTTTTCCTGGACTCAGCTGCAGATTTTTAAGATGTTTCTGTTCCAGGTGACCAAGCTGCTCTTTTGTAGGAAATCACCCCGGCAGAGGAAGCAGGATTAAAGAGCGTGGCTTTGGCTGGGCAGCCAGGCTGGGGAGGTGGGCCTGAGGCTGGACTAAGGGTCTGGGCTGCTGACTGTGATGTCTGGCATTCCTGCACTGGACAGTGCAAAAGCAGTGAGCACTCAAAAAAAAATTGGGTGTTTCAGGCACAGATCAGCTCCAGGTTTTGAGTTTTCCCTGAGATACACATGCACAATACTCAAGAGGGATTTTGTCAGTCCTTCTCCAAAAATGCCGGTCTGGTGAGCACATGCCGCTCTTTGTCATGCTGTTTTTGGTGCAGGACTTGTGTTTTGCAGGCAATGAGTGGCAGTGAGCAGGACTGGCTGTCTCTGAGACCCCGGGAACCTTCTCCATCCCAGTGCTGCGGCGGCGGCTGCAAACCCTGCATCTATGACGTGTACGAGAAGGAGCTTGCACAATGGGAGAGGGCCAAGGCAAAGCAAGACAAAAGCCTTCTCACGGAAAAGAGGGAGCAGGTCGATCTACCTCCATCACATCCTGGAGCCTGTGCTTTGATGGTACTTGTTAGGGTCTGAGGTTGTGGTGATGGGCGAGGGATGCAGCAGTAGGTTCAAGTGGTGCCTTAAGAGATGGCTGTAAATGCAATTCCCCAAACTCTGCTTCACCCTCCCCCTTGGCTGCTCTCTCCCTGCTGTAATGTGATTTTCCAAGTGTCAAGTTCTCCCTGGTGTCGCATTACAGCCCTGAATCTGCAGCTCTCCTCTCAGAGTTTCCTCGGAGAAGCTCTGTTTTCCCCACCTTTTTCATCTTCTCCTGATTTTAGGCTCATATTTTGAGGCTGAAAAAAGCTGTATTGTGTGTGGTGGAGCAGTTGTCTTCAGAGTGTAATTTGAAGCTTGTCAGTGCCCTTTTACATAAGATTAACTATGCTGGGTCAAGCAAAAAAGATCAGCTGAAACAACTGATAATATTTCCTGTTTGCTGTGGCCATCAGTAGGTTGCAAAGTTGCCCCCAAAGCGGTGCTTGGCGCTTTTAGCAGAATTATTTCTGTTTGTTTTTAGACATGGGAAAATGATTGCAGTGAGTCATAATAGGATGACCTTGCTGTAAGGTGTAAAAAAAATATAATTTAAAAAGAAGGTGGTGGTGGTGGGGAAATGCAAGATTCCAAAGTGCACACTGCAGAACATGATAATGAATCAGCAGAGAGCTGGAATTTGCGCTGGGCCCCAGCGTTTAATACATGTCCTGAGTATCTCGGCTGCTAAATTAGCATGCACGTTTGCTTCCAGAGAAGAATGAAATCATAAAAGACACCATCTAACCAAGTAATTATTTATTGTTGTTCTTGCAGAGCAGTAATTCAGTGCTGAATCCAGATACATTCACTGCATTCAGCGTGAGCTCGGTGGAGCAGCTGACAGAGGACACCTACCAGTACAAATTTGAATTACCGGGAAACAGCAGCTTGCAATTGAGTTTAGGACAACATATCGTGTTAAGGTATTGTTCTCTGTGCTAGTTAAACAGTCTGCATTATGTAACCTAATATGTAGGGGTTTGTCAATAGACAAAGGCTTCATAGCAGGCAAATCGTGATTTCTGTACCTCCACAACGACACAGATGAAAAGAGCTCGTGAGCTCGCTGGCTCCACTAATTCCATGGTAAAAGCCATTCCAAAGCTGTAGTTTTCTTCAGCATTATCCTTGCATCGGTGGGTCAGAAAGAACTAGGTGTGATTAAGAAAATCCATTTGCAGAAAGAAAGACTCAAAGAATAGATGTTACAACAGATGATTTACTCTAGCGTGTTGGAATGAAGACAATGAGCTGCACTTTCCCAAGAGCTCTGCACTTCAGCACCCAGGGTGTAATCCCAGTGCCCAGGCATTGCCTGACTGACTTTGAGCAAAACAACCCTCCTGTGTAGTTTATTGCTTGCCGGAAAGGGGCCACTTGGGGAAAGTTTCTGTTTCTCAGCCATCTGTGGTGATCACTGCCAGATAGGAAAAGTCCTGTTACGATGCCATTGATCTGCCTCTGTTGACGTTACTAGTAGGTTAAGAGCTGATGTGTGCAGCTGGTTTCTGCTGCCAGCACATGCTCCTCCTTCCAGCCCTGTCTCATCAGGCAGCAGAGAAAAAGGTTTGGTCACTTCAATCAATTCTCGTGGTCAGTAGTAAAGAGCAGGGTGGATATATTCTATAAGACTTACAGGAAAATACAGTCTATATTGACAAGACCTCAGGTCAAGGCTGTGCCCTGGTTTTTGTTATTTAATTACCAGATGCTGACTGGACACAGAAAGTGACCCCAGCTCAAAAGGAACAGCAGACTCAAGCATGGAAGTGTTTTCTCCCCCCTTTGCCGCTCTTGCACATTCAACTATTTCTCACAAAGCAGCTCAAACACCCTTCCAGGGGTGTGTCCCAGAGCTGGATGTGGTACAGTTGGGGCCACCACCGGGAAAACAAAAGATGCCTTTAAGCCACTATGTTCCCCCTGGATTTTTACCTGCGGAAGGGAAGTGTTTTGCATCTGTGCACAGGCTGGGCCACTGGGAAGAGGACCTGCTGCCTGCCCTGTCTCCCCGGAGAGCTGCAGGAGTTTGGTAATCCCCAATGGCCTAAGTCACAGTGGGTTCCTCTTTATCTTCTCAGGGGAGTGGTGAATGGTTTGGAGGTCCAGCGAGCCTATACTCCGATCAGCCCTGGGAATGCAGAAGGTTATTTTGAAGTTCTAATTAAAGTAAGTAAGCCCGGACAATATGGAGTAGAGTCTAAGGTGCTGGGGACTGTGTTTTCTTTAGGAACCAAGCACGCTGGCAGCACTTGGAGTGAGACTCTCAAATCCCTCATGGACTGTTTCTGTCTTGTTTTGAAATGGTTGTGCTTTGTTGATAAAAATTGCAGTTTTTCCCACAAAACTGAAAGCAGAGAAAGGTGACACACAAACAAGGGCTTTGCAACAGAAGCCCTGTTAAGCACTTGGGAGAACCTCTTGGGTGCCTACCAGTCAACCAGGTGGAAAGAGGTGCCCATTCTGCTTCTCTCGTATAATTTTGCCTTTTCAGTCTGTCTTTGAAATCGCACCCAGTTGTCAGCCCAGTTGAACCACTGACTTCGGGAAGTATTTGCCCAGCCCTTATCCTTCCCACTGTATTTGACTCCAAGAACACCCCACAGAAAAAAATGTCAGTTTGGTTAAAAATGTAGACAGACAGTGGAACAGAGAGCAGCTGTTCCTGGTGTGTGGGCAGGGCTCTGGAGCTGCAGTGTGAGAGGGTCTCCACGGGCAGAAAGGCGTCCCATGGACACAGGCTGCATCTATCAGGGTGGATGGAATGGCAGAGCCCTGACTGGGACAAGTGTCTTGGCCCTTCTGGAGGTTACCACAAAGCGTTGCTTGAGTTCAAAATTATTTTATAGGAGGTTTGAATAAAGCCTGCAGGGCCCTCATATATTACTACTTTGTGTGGCAAATATCGACTGGAAGAACATTTTTCCAATACTGCATTTGTATGTCACTGATGATTCCTCAGGGCAGACACAGACTTCAGTACAGGTGTGAAATCCAGAGAGCTGGGTATCCCAGGTGGCTTGCAGAGGATGACTGCTTGCCCTCTGCCTGTCTTCCAGGATTTCATGTTTTTGGGGTTTATTATGCATTGAAATACAAACCCCGGTCTTTAGAGAAGTGAACAGCTTCTGTAGGACACCTGTGGGAGGGTCATTTCCCCATTCTTGTGGCAATTGGTGAGTGGTAGGGGAGAGAAGTATTACATTTGAGTTGCATTAATAGGATACGTTCACAGGATGACTGTGAAATTTCATGTATAGCGGCTCATTACTCACAGGTTTTGCATTTCAATAATAATAGTAATGATTGTAATGATACCTTT